CTTTTCTAGAACCTGCTCAGTTTAATTGGAATATTATTTATAATATTTGATAGAAGTCACCTATAAAAGCACTTGCACTACATTTTTATTAGTAAATAGGCTTTAATTAATTTAAATTTTTAGTAGATATGTTTGAATTTTTGTCATTGAATTGTTGTAAGATTTTTTTAAAATTGTGACTGTATGTATTATGTCCTTTGTGGATATATTCTGTGGGTATAGGTGCCCATGTAGACCAAAAGGGACTGGATCCTCTGAAGCTGGAGTTGCGTGCCATTATAAGCTGCCCACTGTAGGTGCTGGAAGCCAAACTGCCCTTCGAAAAGAATAAGAGCTCTTAACCACTGAGCTATCTCTCCAGACCCTAAATTTTGTCATTTTGTAATGGTCAAAGCAAAAGTAATATTCAGTACTGTATAAACACTGGGTACTTAGAATAAATGTGAGTTTATAAGGGGATTTCAGCTACTAGATCATGGGATGAAGAATGGGTACCAGCAGGTGTAGGGTATGACTTAGAGCACACATATTTCTTAATTAGTATGGCAGAAATTCACTATATGTGGGTGCTGGGGATCAAACCTAGAACCTAGTGCAGCTATGTATCTAAGGTCCCATTAAGTTCAATCTTCTAATAGCAGCTTCTGCTGAACCAGGAGTGTTGGTTAAATATCAAGACTTGATAAGAAGTCAATTCTCACTGGTCAGTTTTACTGAGGCGCTGCTTTTTTGTTTGTTTTATTTTGATTTGATTTGATTTATTTGAGATAGGGTCTCACTGTGTAGGCCTGAAACACTGTAATTCTCCTACTCAGTCTTTCAAATGCTAGGACTATACGAATGTGTCATTATATACCTAGCTTCTAATGTATATTAAAGAAGATGGCTAGTTCATCAAAGTTTTAATGTATATTGGTAAAATAGTGTTGTTGCTGAATTTTTTAGCTTTTAAATTATTTTATTATTTATTTCATGTGCATGTATGTGTGAGTATGTGTGCACACGTGGAGGACAGAGGACACCAGGTAGACCTGGGGGCTGGCAGATTGACTCAGGTTGTCAGGTTTGGTGGGAAAAGGCTTTATCTACTGAGTCATTTCACTGGAGACATAATGTTGTTGTTTTGAGATAGGATCCTATTGTGTAGTCTAACCTGGCCCTGAACTTATGCTCCTCCTGCCTCAGGCTCAGTGTTGAGATAACTGGTATACTTCACCACATCTAACTCATATTTTAGTTACAGCTCCTTTCTTCATTGCTATATTTTTAATTGTCTTTTATTTTGAATCTTGGCCCCTCCTCTATTTGATTAGCTTTTTTTTTTTACAGATTTTTATTTATTATGTATTCATGGTTCTTCCTGCATGTATCCTGCAGGCCAGAAGAGGACACCAGATCTTATTACAGATGGTTGTGAGCCACCATGTGATTGCTGGGAATTGAAATCTTTACCTCTGAGCCATCTCTCCAACTCCTTGAATAGTTTTTCAAAGAATAGATTTAAAAAAAAAAAAAATCTTTTCTTTTTTTTCTAGGCTTTCTTGAGACAGATTCTTATTATGTAGCTCTGGCTTTCCTGGAACTCAAAGAGACCCACCTGCCTCTGCCTCTCAAGTGCTGAGATAAAAGGTGCATACTATTGTGCCTGGCTGCATTTTCATTTTATTCTATCTTTTTTTTTTTTTAAAGTGCACTAGTGTTTTGCCTTCACGTATGTCTGTGTGAGAGTGTCAGATCCCCTTGAGCTAGAGTTAGACAGCTGTGAAATGCCTTGTGGGTGCTGGGAACTGAACCCGGGTCCTCTAGAAGAGCAGCCAGTGCTTACACTGAGCCATCTCTCCAGCCCTATATTTTCATTTTTAATACTGATATTTCTATTTTTCATTATTCCCGTACATCTTTTATTGAGTTTATCCCACGTTTCCTCGATTTCTTTGAATAAGTTTATCAACTTTCAGTCCACTAATTTCATTACACCTGGACTTTCTCTTTCTTTCTCCTTCCCTGACAGAATCTCACTATATGTAGCTTAGGTTAGCATCAATCTCATCCTCATGCTGGAGTCACAGTGTGACTAAGCTAAATGTGGGCACTTCTAATAACTGTGCTAACTAAATTGTACCGAGTTCAGAAAAATTGTTTATGACAGCATTTATTTGATAACAACTGTGAAGTTTAATACAAGTTGTTTTTATTTTTTTATTTTTGTTCTAGGTCTGTTTGAAGGGATATATCTGTTTGAGGGAACAGAATTGAGTAGAATTCTTAAAAAATGTATGTCTTTAAATTTTCTAAAGCCTTATTCAATTTTTAAATCCTCTTTAAAAAGCATGGTGTGTGTGTGTGTGTGTGTGTGTGTGAGAGAGAGAGAGAGAGAGAGAGAGAGAGAGAGAGAGAATATCGTGGCATGTGTGTGGAGATCAGAGGTCCGTTCTTTCCTTCTACATTTATGTGGATTTTAGGGATAGATCTTGGGTTTCTAGACAGCAGAGCAAATGCCTTATCTACTAATCCATCTCCCTGGCCTTTTTTAAATGTCTACTTTATCTATTAGAAAAATGAGAAAACATTTTCTATTGATTTCTTGCTTTTTTTTCTTGTAATTTTGTCAAATTTTGCTTCTAATAAGTTTTACTTTTAAGTAATATAAGAATTCATTTATACTATTTATCCATACAAGCCTGTGTTGTAGGATGCCACTTGTTCATGGTAATTATTGCTACTATTCCCATTTAAAACATGATAAAAATAACCATTCATCTCTCTCCCCCTAGTTCATTAAATTGAGTATTTTATTTAATTAAGAAATAATTCATTTATATTCTAGTAAAACTAGTCTTTTAATATGGTACCCTTTTTTTTGGTTATAAAGCTTTTTGTCTTAGATACAATCTTATCTGCTATTAATGTGGCCATAACTGTTTTCTTCTGATGAATATTTATCAGTTTTCTTCCCTATTCTTTTCTGGTTTTGTGTATTTTATGTAGCTCATCTAGAGAACATACAGTTTGATCGACCACTATATTTTAATTGGCTACTTTAGTATTAGGAATTGAACCTAGGGCTTCACACAAGCCAAGTAGGTACTCTGCCATTGAGCACTGGTCCTTTTATTATGTTATTTCAAGACAAGGTCTTACTAAGTTGACCAGTTTAGCCTTCAATTTACAGCTTTTTTGCCTCAACATTTCCAGTAGCTGGGATTACAGATTCAGCTTGTTTTTGTTTTCTGAGACAAAATGTTAGTATGTAACCCAGGCTGGCCTTCAAGTCCTTCTGCCTCAGATTTCCAAGTACAGATCATAGAAATTTGCCATCCCGAGTGGCCTGTTTGCTTTTTTTTTAAAAAATATTTATTTATTATGTATACAATATTCTGTCTGTGTGTATACCCGCAGGCCAGAAGAGGGCACCAGACCCCATTATGAGATGGTTGTGAGCCACCATGTGGTTGCTGGGAATTGAACTCAGGACCTTTGGAAGAACAGGCAATGCTCTTAACCTCTGAGCCATCTCTCCAGCCCCCGGCCTGTTTGCTTTTTAAATGATTCTATCCACCCACTTTTATGCTTCTATTGGACTGATTGTTTTATTAAGTTTTTACTTTTCTTCTAATTTGAAAATTATTATTTTCCTATTCAAATTTTCTTCCTAAATTAGCTCCCCACATTTATGTCTGCATTTTAAAAGATGTGTTCGTATTTATTGAGAAACAATACCTCTGTCCTTCACTCCAACAGTTGGGTGTACCTAAAATTTTTTTTTCTTTTTTTTCCCTTTTTTTTACCAAGAATAACTCCTCCTTAACATAACATCCGAAGGCTCCGATATGTCAACTATATTGACAATTCACCACACCACCGTTAGCAACAAGCACAAGCCAAGCTTCAACTCTGCAAACAATTTCTCTGTAAGAGAACATTTTCTTGCAGTGCTTCACAACTGAGGTCACTGTATAAAACGTGCTTTGTACTACAGGATTCTGAGAAATCATGGTTCCAGCTAAGCTGGTGCCAGCAGGTATCCTCTTCTTCCACAGGCAAACCAAATGATCCCATGTATTATTTCTAAACACTGCTTCCAGATCACAATCATTTCAAATGAGAACTGCTTTTTTAATGCATGAAAATAAAAATTTAAAACTACAAAATAAATACATTTAGGACCAAAGAACCAAAGAATGAGGAATATTTTTGTTTCACATAGGAAATAAAAATATTTTCCCTTATATTTAGGAAATTCATTTTATAAACCAATTCTCTTCATTAGATATATGCCTTGATCTCCCGCCCACGTAATTTCCCCCATTTCTTCTTTATTTTGCAGTGGTGGGCCCATGCAGGCTAGAAAGGCTCTCTGCTACTGAACTATATATACTCTTAGTTCTAAAATCTTTAGCTTTAATACATGACTAAACATAATAAAAGAAGAAATCATGGTTTCTTTTTTTTTTCTTGTTTTCCTCCTCCTTTTTTTCTTTTAGGCTGAGTCTCTTTACACTGCCCTGTCCTGGAACTCTATATGTAGACCAGGTTGCTGAAAATTCAGAGATCTACCTGCCTCTGCTTCTTTGAGTGCTGGGATTAAAGGCCTGCACCACCACACCTGTTCCTCCTATCCCACAGTCCCCAGACAGGAGCATCTCCTGTAGCCCATGCTATCCTCCAAGTTGCTATATAATCAAGGATGACCTTGAACTTCCGATCTTTCTACTGTCTACCTCTAGAGTGCTGGGATAACATGCTTACATCACTGTGTCTGGCTGTGTGGTGATGAGGAGCAAACACCAGGCTTCAAGCATGCTAAGTAAGCATTCAATCAGTTGAGCCATGTCCCCAGCCGAGGAATCACTTTCCCTTGTTTTTCTCTCCCCATTAAGCTAACATTTTGACACCCCACTCCGACTCTAGATCAGAATACTGAACTTGTTCATCATCTTTTAAAGACAAAAAAAAGTTTTACAGTATTACATTCCTAACATGGTCTCCTATTTACAAACCTGTTAGTGTCCCATATAATGACATTTCCATCAAATCCTGATGTTACTAAGAGTCTTGTATTAGTATCATATTCGATGTTCTTCACCCAGCTAGTGTGACCATGTAAAGTGCATACTTTGGTGTTCAATTTTCTCAGATCCCATAGTGCTATTGTAGTATCATCAGAGCAGGTAGCAAATAGCCGGTTATCAAGAAATCTACAAAAGCAGAAAAGAAAAACTGGTTCATTTAATCTCTACTTAAAGAAAATATGATTTTAGAAACAATCTCTATACAACCAAAGGACTGCAATCTCCCTGTAGAACCCCAGCAATTCTAACACACTAGACAGTCCACACAGACTGCTAATGAATACAAACACACTATAACTGGCCTATGTCACTGTGGATTTTATTTGAATTTACTAGAAATTGTGAATAGGTGTTTAGAGCACAGTTGGCAGAAGGGAAGGAAGGAAGGAAGGAAGGAAGGAAGGAAGGAAGGAAGGAAGGAAGGAAGGAAGGAAGGGTGGGTGAAGGGAAAGGAAGGAAAGGAAGGAAAAAACTCCAGAATCTTCCCAGGGATTGAAAGAAAAAGTTTAATAGAAAACAGATTTTAAGGATTCGACTGCTCAAAGGGACACTATATTAAACAAAAGATTCTAATAGAGATTTGTTACAAGTAATGTCTCTTTCTACTTACAACAAATTTACATACAAAACTTGTGATTTGAAGTGCCACCATTTAAATCTATTAATTCAAAAGCATTCCCCCAAATAATTTCCAATGACATTTTATTAGTGAAGACTGTAAGACAGACTTGTTCTTATGCTACTTATGCTATAATGCAGACTTTTTATAATTTTTACTAATTTCCAAATCCTTAGTAACAATATACAAACACTTATAAACTGACCATTCACTTTCGTTTCTGTTTAATAGTGGTATAGTATCTTTAGCAAACACTGTTACATACAACTTCACAGTCTCCAGTAGAACAAATGAACTCTGGAGCTTCTTCCAACATAAAATTATATATAATTCCGTCTAAAATAAATATCAATATCCACACACAACACCATGACCTTACTGCAATTTATCATGGATTTGTCTCTTTTGCTTGTTTATAAGCCAATAGCCTATTTATACCCAGGCTGTCTCCCATCCAATACTAAGCAGGTTTAACCTCTGCTCAGAAGTACGGCATGTGAACCTGCCTAGCACACTGGGGTCAATATGGCCGTAGACTTACTTACAATGGCTTTAATTCTAGGCCCGCCTTCCTCCTCTTCCTTAATTTTGTTTTTTTTGTTTTGTTTTGTTTTTTTCGGTTTTTTTAATATTTAGCTGTCATCTCTTCCAGGAAGCCAGCACCTTTTTTTGTTTTTTAAATAAAATTCAGTCTTCTTTATCTAGTCTAGAGTAGTTTACAAATATGCTATAAGCTCCCCAATCAATCACTCTTTAATTTTTGGGGGTGCACATGTATGTACAGGTTCACTTATGGAGTCAGAGGCTGTCTTCCTCTGTTGTTCTTCACTTTATTTTTTGAGGGAGGGGATCTTGACTGAAGCTGAAGCTTGCTACTTCTGCTAGAATGGAGTTAAAAATGAGTACCACTGAGTCCAGCTTTTTTGGTGGATGCTGGCAAGCTGAACTGAGATTCCTATGCATGTATTTTATCCACTGAGCTATTTTCCCACCCCAGCGCTTTACACTTCTAGACAGGTTTCTCTGGCCCTGGCCGTCTGGAACTTGCTCTATAGACTAGGCTGGCCCCTGCACTTCGTTCATAATATTTAACACTGTGGTATAAGGAACAATTTTAGAAAGCTATAAATTCCTTGAAGACAGGGTAAAGTACCTATCATGTGATTAGAGCTGCAGTACCAAGCACATGTGCTTTATTTAATTTACTTAAAGACAGGATATCATATAGCCCAGGATGGCCTCAAACAACACTGAACTTAGGATTGTCTCACTACAGGAGTAGGCTACCATGCCCAGTTTATGTGGTGCTTAAGATCAAAAACAGGGCTTGATGCATAAAAAGCAATCACTTTACCAAATAAGCTAGATTTCTAGTTCTATCTGTAAATGTTTATTAAATAAATGAATTAAAGAAATTCATTACCCAGAAGACAAAAACACATTGTTACATAAAACTATTATGTGAAATAAGCAAAATAGAGATAGGTTAGGAAAGAGTACAACGAGAACTGACTGAAAATGAATAGGAACTCCCAGGGGTAAGAAATACAAAGGTATGTAAAAGATTGCTGTATGTGGTCAAGGAGAAAAATGGGGAATTTACTGACTTAACTGCAGTGATTCTCTGCTGTGGAAGCACATTCTGCTCCTTCAGCCAACAGCCTTTAAGAGACCAGGCCCAGGTGGGCTGGTATCCCAATGGCTTTTCTCCTTCCCTGCCTTCTCTAAGCAGCATCTCACTATGTAGACCTAGTTAATCTGAAATTCACTATGCAGACCAGGCTGACCTCAAACTCAAAGAGAGCCTCCTGACTCTTCCTCCTAAGTGCTGGGATAAAAGGTATGTACCACCACTTCTGGCCACTCCAAGACTTTTAATAAAGAGAGTGAGATGATTTCATAGGAATTTTAAGATCATTTAGATGATCAGAACCCCAAACTTTTGGGTTTTTATTTTAAAAGTTAAGAAAGATGGGGAAAAAAAAATCAACTTTTCAGTATTTGGTAATAAAATAACTAAAGTAATTATTGCATAAAAGATATTCTAATCTCTAAAATGTAGAAAGAATCTTAGAGTAATAGTTAATTAATTTTGAATTGAGTTTACCTTAATGAAAAATTCAATACTTTGACTTTTTCACTCATTTTTCCTCAAAGTATTAACTGACAAATTTTTTATACTGGTAAAAAGAATAAATCATACAGTAGTAAGAGTAGTGTGTAGATAAAGCTATCATCTCTATGGCAATTTTAATCCCAAAATATGTATATGTACAGAAAGTAAAGTATTACGATAGCCCTTGGATACATGGCCCATTCCTCTCCAGTAAAAACTTAGAATAGCCTAGAAAGCTGTCACTGTTGGGCTGGGACGTAGTTGAGTTGGTAGAGTGCTTGCTTAGTATACATGAAGCAATCCCAGCATGCACTTAGAAGGAGTAGGAGAATCCTAAATTCAAGGTTATCTGTGGTTATACAGTGAGTTCAAGGCCAGCCAGGTACGGTTATGTGACATGCTGTCTTAGAAAAGGAAAAGTTATGAGATGTTTCTAACTCTACATTCTTTGACAAGTAGGAGCTCCTCTTGCACAAACACTAAAATCTGTCTGAATCAGAACCTCTCAACTGTGTCCACAAAACTCTAAGTTGGCTAGAAAAGCTCTGGATGGACTTCTGTCTGGAGGAGCTAAGCTCTCTATTTGAGGAAAACTGGAAAAGGATAAAAGCAACTGAAAGCGAATTCTTTAGGACCTACATCTCATTGTCCAAGCCAAAATACTGTTGAATATTTAACAAAACTTAAACTAAAAAAAAAAAAAACACAAAAAGAAACTCTTCATTTAATAACTACATGTAAATTCTTAAAACTGGATTAAATCTTGAGCATTATAATATCTACAATGAAATTATGAAAGAATATTTTATCTTCCCTTCATATTTGGGCTTTGTTCTATAATGAAGATCACTTTCCCATAAATCCTCAGATTTTATCAGCTGTCCCAAGAGCCAGTGAGATATTCACGAAATTTTGGTATCTCTTGTGCCATTATTTCCATTACTGTTTTTTTCTGACATTTTCCTGATCAGATCACTATTGCCAATGATTTTACATGTATCTTGACCACTTCTCTAGTATCACTTTCAGGGTTTTGTGAAATTACACATGCATTTCCCCTCAGCTGGCAAATACTGTATTTGTCTTACATTGTGTGAAATGAACACAAGAACCCAGGAACAACAAATAGTTATGTACGCTGCTACATTGTTACCACATCACTGAATGTGTATTTTTAGTTTTACCTTGAGGCTTTCTCCTTACAATCTCATAATTACAGGTATCGAGATTGCTATATGGACTCTTACATCTAAGTATAAAGTTCTCTGGAATAAGTAAGCCTACAAAATGTATTTTAACATAAACATTTTTCTTTCTTAAAACATGAACAGAAAATATTCCCAACTATCATTATTATTTTACAAAATTAACAATCCACAAAACTAAAAAATTAACTAAAAGACATGACCAAGAATGTGCAAAATGACTGCCTTGAATGAAACAAAAAAAATGTATGTATGCCCACACCTTTGCAGAGTGTTTACAGAGAGGTGGTCTCATGGATCCATGTATGATTTCATTTCTACTACTTCCTGTATATGAAGCCTTGAAGAAATCTCTATAAAAGTCATTATTTCCTCCTTCTTAAGACAAATATGGCATCTATCTCACACGAAGACATGATAAACATCAAAGTAGCTGAGGCAGAGACACCACAAGTTTAAGATCAGCCAGACCAGCCAGCCTGGCAAGGCCTTACCTCAAAAGACAAATGTAAACATTTTTAATTAATCTGTGTGTGTGTGTACATGTCTGTACACTCACTCTTTGGTGCACATGTGGAGATTAGAGACAACATGTGGAGTTGGTTCCACCATGTGGATCCCAGGGATTAAACTCAGGCTGTCAGGTTTGGCAGCAAAGTACCTGTTGTCCCCCACTCATCCAAATTTTTAAAAATCTTAAACAATATAGCATATTAAAAGTGTTTTACTGATTTGACACACAATAGACTCAAGAAATGTACGTTAGTATTATTAAGTAGTGCACACTTAAGTTCATGCACCCAGAGACCTTTCAGATCCTTAACCTCTTAGGTTACTTGTGCTTCTACACAAACTTCAAAATCCATTTTCCTAGATTCAAATTTGTAGGCACGTGTGCTGTGGCAGCACGCTGACAGTAGCACATGAGAGTTGACACTGATAAAGAATTCAAACAGGTTAGTCAAATGTCACTTTGAGTGGGGGCAAACAACTTGACACAAGTCTATTCTTTTTGAAATAAAAGAATTTTCAATTATAAAATATTAGAAATAGAGACAATTAAAATGAATATAACAAACACCTGTGATACCCACCACCCAGCTTTATCAAATTTTAACATTTCATTATCTTTCAGAATTGTCTGAAAATATAAACATTTGAAGTACATTGTGAGTCCCTCCCCGAG